TAACTTGCTATCTAAATCCTCTATGTAGGGGGATCCCTGGGTGGCGCAGCGGTTTGGCACCTGCCTTTGGCCCAGGGCGCGATCCTGGAGACCCGGGATCGAGTCCCACATCGGGCTCCTGGTGCATGGAGCCTGCTTCTCCCTCCGCCTGTGTCTCTGCCTCTCTCTCTCTCTCTCTCTCTCTCTCTCTCTCTATCATAAGTAAATAAAAAATAAAAATAAAAAATAAATAAATTATTTAAAAAAAATAAATCCTCTATGTAAGAAAATAGAACTAAACTGTGAATAAGCACAAAGACCACAGATTTTATGTAATACAGAACTATGTCTCCAAACCATGGTTATAAAGGCCTAATTAATGAGAGAATACAGTCCCTTTATATACATGTTACTGTTTCACTGACCATTCACACCTTGATTTTTCCAGATAGTTCCCCAAACTATGTTGACCTAGTCCTGAAAGATTTTGAGAAGAGGCTAGCAGATAGCTTTATTTATATCTGTGGTAAGCACGCCAGTCTTAGCATGAAATGATTTACAGAAAGGAGTTAAACACCATTCAGGAAATAGAACTTTTCAGATAGTCCTATGTCACGTTTTTTTTATTGTGTTTTCAGTTTTTTTTAAGTGAGGACTTATATAATCCAAACAAAAACAGTACATAAATAATCATTGGCTTATTAATTATTCTAAGTATTCTAAGTATTGGCATCCCCTTCTTCAAATCATCATAAATGCAAAAACCTTGGTACATCGTACATATCCAATAATTATGCTCCAAAGGTGAATGGTTCATATGGTAGGCATCCTACTAATAGTTGACATTCTGAGGAAGCTCAGAGCTTTCAGCAACCTAAGGGTTAAGTAATTATAGGCTAGACAGTGAATGAATAAAGCATAAAAACAAATACATATATTATTTTTGTGTTTTTTTCCCTCCCCCCCCCCCCAAAAAAAAAAACCCCACTGATTTTGCATTCATTTGCCTGGAGAAGTAAATTTTAAAAATAGGATTATTTAGTCTTAAAAATCAAAGCCTGGGATGCCTGGGTGGCCCAGTGGTTGAGCGTCTGCCTTTTTTGGCTCAGGGCATGATCCCAGAATCCCGGGATCAAGTCCCACATCAGGCTCTCTGCATGGAGCCTGCTTCTCCTCCCTCTGCCTATGTCTCTGCCTCTCTCTCTCTGTGTCTCTCGTGAATAAATAAATAAAATCTTAAAAAAAAAAAAAAGAAAAGAAAAGAAAACCAAAGGCTGAGTGAATATAATCACTCAGGAAATACTAAGCACCTCACTCAGTACTCTTAGTCACTCTATGAAAAAAGATAAAGATTATTCTTATCTCTTATAAAAATGTAAATTAATTATGTGGTCAAGAGAAGAAACCATCAATGAATATCTAAGGTAGTATATCATGCTAAAATACATGGTATGAACATTTGCTGCCTTTCAAGGGTATCACATAAAAACCTACACTTCACTTTGCCAGCCTTCACTTGTATCTTAAGGATTTCTCCATTTGGTTTGGTACTGTGTATGCAGTAATTCAGTAAGGAAGCCAGAGGAGGGATCCCTGGGTGGCTCAGCAGTTTAATGCCTGCCTTTAGCCCAGGGCTCGATCTTGGAGTCCCAGGATCGAGTCCCACATTGGGCTCCCTGCATGAAGCCTGCTTCTCCCTCTGCCTGTGTGTCTGCCTGTCTCTCATGAATAAATAAATAAAATCTTAAAAAAAAAAAAAAGGGAAGCCAGAGGAGAAAGAGGAGGTACCTCTATCCACTGGTGGTTTTAAAAAAAAGTCCTATAAGCATCACTGATTTAAAACATAGAAGAGGCTCACAACAACACAGTCACCTTGTATGGATGCCCTTACCTTCCTGTCCAAGGCTAGCTTTATTGCAAGGTGGATTAAGATAGCAAAACATAAACAGAATATTAACAACCAAAGGATAAAATTACAGAAATTCCTACATTTGAAATCTTCTGAAACTTCAGATGATTAAATGCTATAGTTGCTTCATATGTAAAGAAGTTCTGACTATAAAGATCTATGCAGTAAATGACTCTGGATGTTTCTGCAAAATTACAGAGACTAAAAAAGGAAAAGTAGCACCAATTCACAAACTTCCTTTGCAAAGGGAAATTCCTCCTTTCCTCCTACAATCACTGTGACCTATGAAAGAGGAAGTTTCCAAAATCAATTTCACACTGAGGAAAAACCTCTTCCCCTTTCTTCAACCGCACCCAGATGCCACCTCATAGATAAAGTAGTAGAATTAACAGAACTTGGCTGCATCCAGAAACAGAACTACAGATTATACAAGGCTCTGCTCCAGCTTCTTAGCCCATGAAGGGATGGATGTGAACTGGCCCAAATCTGCTAAGAGAGTATTCTGAAGGAGATAAAGTAGGAAGTGCCATTTATTATTTATTTATCTTAAAAGTTTGTTTATTTTAGAGAGAGAGCGAGCGTGAGCAGAAAGAGGGGCAGAGGGAGAGGTGAGAGAATTTCAAGCAGACTACTTGCTAAGTGTTGGACTCCAGTGTGGAGCTTGATCTCACGACCCTCAGATCATGACCTGAGCTGAAATCAAGAGTCAGATGCTCAACCAACTGAGCCACCCAGGCACCCCAGAGTGCCATTTAATAAACAAGTTGCACCATGCCTTCTCATCTGGTCTTACCCTTAATAAAGTGAAAGTTTTCATTCTCACTGGTTCTCTAGATCTACTATTCAACTGTTGAAGTAGAGGAGGGATGAGCAATCAGGTACTCCCATATTCTAACACCATGGAAAGCTTTCGTTTGTTAGCTTTAGTTACATAAATGTAAAGACCCCTCCAATTGTAGAAAGGTGAACACAAATTTTAAATTACGGCATCTCAGAACTGAGGGGAACAGTAGCTATCAAGTTGATCTCTATATTACAGATAAACAAAATTACAGAAACAGCATTGAAACTGTAACATTTATTATAATTACCATATTAATTTCAGATGGTAGCATGGAAAAGAAAGTCATTCTTTCAGTTGTTTATACATTTTCAGCACACTGAGATCTTCTTATAAATTCACTGTGTCTAGCGTACTATTTCAAGTTCCAATTTTGTGGAACTGCTTGTACAAGGTACAAGAAATTTTTTTTTTTTTGTTACAAGAAAAATTTAAGAGAAGCAGAGATCACTGAAGGTTGAAGTCAAAGACGTGACTGGATAGAAAAGATAAAGCCTAGTCATTAAAGGGTTAGGTAAGTGAGAAGTGGATATAAGAATTGCACCTAAGTGAGGGCAATAAAGGAGCAAAGGCATGAAGGCAGGACTTAAAGAAACAGGTTTCACTGCAGAATAAAATATGGCATAAAGAAAAATATGTCCCAAATACTGTTTAGGACAGAACGTTTTGCATAGAATTTTTATGAACTCCTGGGAAGAAATGAACAGTCCTGGTAAAGAGCTTAATCCATTTTGGATGAATTTCAACCAGTTTAAGAAAACTCTTCTGGGAATTTAGTTATCTACCTGTTCAAGCTGACTACCTGGGAGAGTCTGAAGGTCTTTTAACCAAGCATTCTTTTCTCACTCATCTCTCTCTAACCACTATGAACTGACCTGACAGTAAGACTGAAATAAAACTCTGACATGTTCTCATAACTAAATCTCTAAAAAGCTTTTATTTAACCAATGGAAAGGAGTTATGACTGTCCTGATCACAGTTCCTTAGTGTGAAGGAATGCAATAGGAATAAAAAAAAATAATAATATACTTATGTCCAAACTTTCTTCTCTCACAATGTCTAAAAAATATTCAATTCAACCTCTGCCTATTTGGCTCTAGAGTCTTTTATTATGTTCCTCTTGATAATGGGTGGGAAAAGCTGCAGACCAGGAAAATGACAAAACAGGTTAGGAATTTTTATACTGGAAGGAAGAAAAGTCTAAGAGAAGAAAAAGAATATATCCAGAGAGCCCAAGAAGGGGAAAAGAGGTAAGAATCAAAACATCTTGGGGATCCCTGGGTGGCTCAGTGGTTTGGCGCCTGCCTTTGGCCCAGGGCACGATCCTGGAGTCCCGGGATCGAGTCCTGCATTGGGCTCCCAGCATGGAGCCTGCTTCTCCCTCCTCCTGTGTCTCTGCCCCTCTCTCTCTCTCTCTCTCTCTCTCTCTCTCTCTCTCTCTCTCTCTCTCTCTATCATAAATAAATAGATAAATAAATAAATAAATAAATCTTAAAAAAAGAATCAAAACATCTTGCTTTAGGGAAGGTGTCTTTTGTTTGATAACAAATCAAAGACGGTATTTTGAAGAACAGCAGCTTTGTGGAAGGCTGAGATGTAAAGGGCAGAAAAAGCAAAAGGAAGAATTTAAAACGTTTTTCTGGATATTAAGAATATATTCTTGGGGTGCCTAGGCGGCTCAGTCAGTTAAACAGCTGCCTTTGGCTAAAGTCATAAACCCAAGGTCCTAGGATCAAATCCCTCGTGGGGCACCCTGCTCAGTGGGAAATCTGCTTCTCCCTCTCCCTCTGCACTTCCCTCCCCTGCTCATATTCTCCCTCTCAAATAAAATCTTAGGGGGAAAAATGTATTCTTTATAATAGTAAACCAAAGAGTTGATAGTCAGTAATTATTTATTTCCAGTTCCAATTTCAAAATTTGTCCAAACGGCAAGAACACACGTGTCTTACGTACATACTAAATGTTAAGAAAGGAAAAATAATTGCCTTATCTTGTTAAGATAAAGCAGGAGGGTTGAAATAAGAATAGATATGAAAAAGCCAAGATTTTCTGTTTCATACATTGGTGCAGAGATACTTCAAGAAAATATGTATAAAGTCTGGACATCAGTAATATATTCTTCACTATAAGTTTTAGGATACATGACTAAGATTTTTAAAATTTTATAAAATAAAGCCATTTCTATTTTTAATTTCTCAATATATTTAAATTGAAATTTATATTGAAGTTTAAAATATAAACAGTGTGCCTGATGACAACCAGAATACTTACGATGGTCGATCCTCAAGAATCAGGGCAGTGGTAGAAAGTGGCTCAAATTCAAAATTCTTACGTCTTGAAGACTGAGGTGGTGGTTTACAGGTCCTCCCTGTTCGTGCTTCATACTCCTAGAGTAGATAAAAAATATATATACTTTATGCAGAATCTTTTCCAACTTTGCTTGCATCATTAAATCTGTATCATTAAGGATACACTATAATAAAAGACACATACGGCTGATACATTAATTTGATAAAACTATCAGGCAGACCAAAAAAAGTCCCTTTTCCCTGAAGCAATCTAAATCATGAATTTATATTACATATAAAGTATCAAAGTATGTTAAGAGAGTGGGGAGATACAAATACACTAGGTTAATGAGGTAAGGTTTTAGGGAGAGGTTTCTGATTGCCTTCTATGGTATCAGCTATCCAAGTCCAGCTTTGAATAATCTACAAGCAGATAAACGTACTTTCCAACCCTTCAGACAAATCAATAATGGAAATGTTGACACAGGCATAATCCTACTGTGATGCCTTGAAGATCTCTCCCAAGATTAACACTGTAATCAAACGCTGGTTTTGAATTTTGACCTACTCTAAATCTAAATACTATACAACTACCTATTTAAAGGTAAACAATTCACCATCATTTCTTATCCAAAAATATGGCAAAAGATTGTGAAATGTACCACTAAAATCATGAAACTATTGTTACAGTATTTTTCTAATTCATCTGAACAGATAAACTTCTCAAAAGAAAGTGAATGTGACGTGGTATGTTCTTGGTAGATACCTTTAAATTTCTATAGATGAGCATTTTTTTCATAAATGTTCACAGACTTCTACTGAAATTATTTCCAGAATTTCAACAAAAATCAGTAACAAGCTTACAGGCTTAGAATTTCCAGAACCAAAAAAAAAAAAAAAAAAAAAAAAAAAAAGAATTTCCAGAACCCACATCTTTCCCTTTCTAAAAAAAAAAAAAAAAATAGTAATAATAAATAAATAAATCTAGATTTGGCCATTCCAGGTAATGAGTGTATTTTTTATGAAATTCTCAAAGGGGCACCTGGGTAACTCAGTTAAGGGTCTGTTGACCCTTGGTTTTGGCTCAGGTTGTGATCTCCAGATCCCAGAAAGCCCTTCATTGAGCTCCGTGTGGGGCTCTGCACTCAGTGAGTGTCTGCTTGGGTTTCTCTCCCTTGCCCTCTCTTTCCCTATCCCCATTCACATGAGCTCTCTTTCTCCCAAATAAATAAATAAAATCTTAAAAAGAAAAGAAATTCTTAAATATTATACAACAATTTCATGGGTAGATTTGTAAGTCTTTACTGGCAGCTAGAGAAGACATTAATTTAAATGAAGAAAATGAAATGCACTTAACATGATCAAGTGATCCACTTACTGGCTGCTTTCCTACCATGGCCTATAATTCTTTTTATATTATCTTTTTCCAAATCAAAGACTATTTCTCCCTACTGAATCAAACAGTTGTAAAATAATAAACTGATGGTTCTATCTCCCTTAGAAATTTGATGGTCTTGTTGAGGCTTAATCTTCCAATTTGCCATATTACTTTCTAAGACATTTATGCTGCCTTAAACATCTTTAATAAACTCCAGCCTACTTTATAGTTACTGCCAGTGCTTATAAAGGTTTGTATTACTGTTTTATAATTCTTTAGTTCTGCCTCTCCCCTTCCATCTAGTAAATCTATGCTGTTAATCTGAGAGCATCTTTGGATAACTGCACAGGATTTTAAATTTTTTTTAAATTTATTTATTTATTTATTTATGATAGTCACAGAGAGAGAGAGAGGCAGAGACACAGGCAGAGGGAGAAGCAGGCTCCATGCACCGGGAGTCCGATGTGGGATTCGATCCCGGGTCTCCAGGATCGCGCCCTGGGCCAAAGGCAGGCGCCAAACCGCTGCGCCACCCAGGGATCCCCTAAAGACTTCTTTCTCAAGTTATTTAGGATTTTGTATGTTCATTTATACTACCTCCCATCGCAAAGAACTACATAGCTTTTCAGAGTCAAAAGGTCACTCATTTCTTTTTCATAATTTTTTCTCCTAACATCTAGGATATATATATTTAATTAGGTTTCTTTTCTTTGTTACAAACTCAAATGTAACAAATCCCTTTTTCTGCTAGTATTTTTCTTATTAAAAATCAGATGCTAGACATAGATGAGGGTTTTTTTTAAATCATTTAAATGGCACTTTGTGGGATCCCTGGGTGGCTCAGCGGTTTAGTGCCTGCCTTTGGCCCAGGGCGCGATACTGGAGTCGCGGGATCGAGTCCCACGTCGGGCTCCCTGCATGGAGCCTGCTTCTCCCTCTGCCTGTGTCTCCACCTCTCTCTATGTGTCTATCATGAATAAATAAATAAATCTTTAAAATAAATAAATAAAATAAATAAATAAATAAATAAATAAATAAATGGCGCTTTGTTTTCCTACAATGTGACCTGGTCTCACTGACAGACAGAATTTAATGATTATTATTTAAAAAAACTTCCCAGGCAAAAAAAAAAAAAAAAAAAAGCTAATGCACACAGTAAAATAGCACTTCTAAATCAATATATTAACAATATTTACTGACACAATGTACCATGCACTGTTTTAAACATTTAACACATTTGATGCTTGAAAGAACCCTGTGAGGGAGGCACCTAACCACAGTAGAGGAAAATAAGGCACAAAAAGATGCAGTCACTTGCTTAAGGTCATAAATGGCAGACAGTATAATTCCAGAGCCTGGCCTTTTAACAATCTATACTTTACTATATTAACAGTCAAGTGGCTGTCTATGACAATTTTAAAAAATGAGATAAAATCATTAAGTGAGAGAATAATGGGGATCTGTAAAATGGGTAGATCAGACTGACAATACACTGATCCAACTAAACATCACAAGAAAAGACCACCAGATGATGTTTCCTCTTATGGTGCAGTATGAAGTACATACCACAATTCCTGAAATATTCTTGGCAAAAGAAAAAATCAAACTTCAATATGATTAAGCCTCTAGAATTGTGCTCTCCGATGTGGTAGTCAAAAGAAGTGATAAACAAGTATGTCACATATGCTTAAATATATGTAGAAAAACAACGGGAATATGAATGATTAAGAGGTTCTCCTCTTTAATTCCATGTGTCTTATCATATCATAAAAATCCCCCATATATTTCCTCAACAGAAGTTTAATAATGAGCTAAACACTGTGATCTGGTCCTTTATAACTTTACAATCTATAAAGCTATAAAGGAATTTTACAATATTAAAAAGCAACTGGAAATATCATAGTCCAAAGAAATCAGTAAATAATGCTAGCCATAGTACACTCACCATCTGAAAATACTCTAAAGTTCTGCTCCATTTTCTGCCAACAAAGCTGTTTTAACTGACCTATTTTATGAGTAGTTGGAATCTATCCACTAAATGTAAGAGAAGCAGCATTTAACATATGGAATGTATTTCTATGGGATGTTGTAATGAAGCCTATTTATTATTTTTGTAATTTATTCTTTCCTTTTCACTCAAAATATTCTGTCCTATAAACTATTTTTACTTTGATTGAGATAACTAGAATAGTAGGTGAAACCAATGCTAAGGGAGACAGGCAAACATCTATAGAATAATTTATTCTGCTACTGTAAAAAAATATGCATCAAACAGGCAATCATTCTAGTCTGATCAAAATATGGTAGGCAGTTGTTGTCATCTCCTTAAGTGTAAGGTAGAAAAAATGTCTTACAATTCCAAGGTAAAGAGATATTCTATACATATAAAAAGAAAATTTTTCCCAAAATTATCTCTCAGAAAAGACGTAGCCCATTTGCTAATAGCATCTTTCATACTAGGTACTTTCTATTAATTTTGAACAGCAAATTATTAGAAGACACATATCTTGAAATTATCTCAATCAGTGTGGAAGGTCACTTGTTGAGCGGAATTTTTTATTGTTTGCTTAACTGGAGCAGGAAAGGAAGAAATTAAACATAAAATATTTATTTCTGGAGTTATAACCATCTGATTGCAAGCTCTATCATTAAGAGTCTTTAAATATATAAAATTATATTGTATCAAAAAATAACATAGTAAGAGACTTTGCTATAGTGATAATTTTATACCTATAGAACGAAAGAAAAAATGTAATGCATTTGGAAATTTATGGCTTGAGACAAAATTTCTCATAGAAGATAGTACAAAGAATCAAAAAGCACTGTATCTTTGGGGTGCCTGGGTGGCTCAGTCAGTTAAGTGTCTGACTCTTGATTTCAGTTCAGATCCTGATTTCAGGACCAAGAGTTAAGCCCCATGTTAGGCACCACACTAGGCGTGCAGCCTACTTAAAAAAAGGGGGGGGGGGCACTGTATCTTCTACAGCTTGGACAAAAGTGAAAATAATGTGCTCTGGGGTTAGAGACCCCAAAACCAGTTACAGTGATCACAGTGATGCTAAACATTGATGTTGAAGATATAACACAGTTTTTTTTTCTTTTTTTTTTTTTAAATTTTTTTTTTAATTTATTTATTTATGATAGTCACAGAGAGAGAGAGAGAGAGAGGCAGAGACATAGGCAGAGGGAGAAGCAGGCTCCATGCACCGGGAGCCCGATATGGGATTCGATCCCGGGTCTCCAGGATCGCGCCCTGAGCCAAAGGCAGGCGCCAAAACCGCTGCACCACCCAGGGATCCCTTTTTTTCTTTTTTAATAACACAGTTTTGAACAGGAAAGTACTAGTTCTTAATACATTATTTTATATACTATATTGTAATCGTTTGAATATGTAATTCAAAACTTAAATAAGCATTTTATTTTCATCTACATTCCTAAAAATGACACGCACGCATATACACATAAACACACTGGCTAATTCTTTACAAAGATAGGGTAAATTCCCACACGTGTACTGGGTAATTCATAGCACCTTTCTTGCTGAAAACAGCCTTTGTGATGATCCCTGACAAAGGGGAAACAAGATAAGCCTAGCATCACTCCACTGTGCATGAAGGCTACCCTGGACATCAGTACAGAAAGGGGAAATTCAAACAAAAACTGACCGTTAGTTTACAGTGGCTGAGGAGGGCCAAAATTTGTGTGCCAGAGTAGTGAAAAA